TCTGCCTCCTCGTCAGTATCAGAATCAGCTCCAATCTTGCCTAGATGTACACAGTTTCAAACATTAAAATTTAGGCAATATAATTAATACTACATATTTTGGCTTAATCTTAATGATTAACTCTACTACAATCAGCAGAAGAGGGTTTTTTCCCCAGTTAAAGCTGATGTTCTAAAATTAGACTTACTCGAACCCCAAAACCTTACTTATGAGTTTTCTGGTAGACACATGGTTGGCATTTCTCAGTTACACCATATTACAAAAAAAAAGTAGACTAGCTATTGCTAGTGCAATACTATAGGCACTAAAGCACAGGAGACAGAATTAACAGAATTACTCCACAGCATTCAGGATTCAAAGAGTTCCGCTTAACTGAGTTTACATGCTTACAAATAAATACTACAGCCCTTAAATTTCAAGTGGAAGTTCAGCAAGATACTGAAAAGCTGGTATGTCATATCCTTAATGAAAGTACATGAACTGTGTGTCTCAGCAGAGCAGAGGAACCCACCAAGAATCCTTTAACAACACCCAATACTTTAGGGCAATTGGTCATACAACTGAACTGGTCTTGCATTATGTCAGTTTTCCCCTGCAGAGAACCAGGAGGCAACTTTTTCTCAGTTTACCTAAAATACTTCTCCAGTCCTACTTTCATCTTTTCTACCAAGTCAAATGCTTTGTTCTTAGTTTGCATACTGAGGAAAAGAAGCTTATACTACTGTCTTCTGAATGTGCAGCTTCTAAATCAATGGACAATTTCATGCAAGCTTAAGAGATCAAAACCAGAATATATATATACACTAATATGTATATACACACTAATTAATTATGTATTAGTAGCTAGAAATGGAGTGAAAATCCAGTTTAGAGGCAGATTATGCCCTGGTTTACAGCGGTGCCTGGAAGTTTCATTCATACCTTCAAGTATCTTCAACAGTTTTTTTTCCGATAACAGCTCCAACTGCTCCAAGCAAAGCCTTTTGATTTCATCCATGGAACAGTTCTAAGAAGACAGATAAGACAGACCACAAGCTACTAAAACTTTCTGAGGAGAAATTATGAACGATAAGTAGTACCCCTAACTGTACTGAGCAAAGAGCTAACTAAGGTTGCAAGTTCCTTCCCTATTCCAACCTGATGCAACTATTGAAGAACACCAGGTAGGCATTTCAGTTTTGACAACTACCAGAAGTAGTGCGACTGAATTCTGCTGCTAGTCATACTTCGCATTTTACCTTGGGAATGCTTACTTCACCCTTTACTGCTGAGGCAAAATTGTCACCATCAGACCCCCTTTAGATAGCATGAATGAGAGCTGCATTCTTAAAATCATTATTGTAGTGTTGATATTGCTGCATGGGCTGCAGGGGTGCTTTCTCTTTAAATCTCGAAACAGAAATGCAATATACACTGACACTGACCTTACTCAGACTTGTACCGGTGACCAGAAGGAAAAGGAGGAGCTCAGCTCAGCCCTCTGTCCCTTGTGATAAAGACCAAGTAAAGCCAGACAGCAGGTGAGAGGACTTTTCTGATGAAGATGCAGAAGAGGGTCCTTCTAAAGCCGATAAGGGAGAGGCTCCTGCACTAGCAAAGGAAGAGGACTCAGATACAGAGATAATCATTAAATCTTTTTCTATGAAGGATTTGTGAAATGTAAGAAAGGATTTTAGCCATAATGATGGTGAGTTAAACTTGTCTCCTGGTTGCTCCGATGCTGGGATAATGGAGCTGGTTGCATGGAATTAGACGGTGCAGAAGCTAGGCAGTTAGGAAACCTGTCCAAAGAGACTGGTATAGATAAAGCTCTTGGGGAAAAGTCACAGTCTCTGAAGGCAACTCATATCAGCTGTAAAGGACAGATATCCCTTTAAGGATGTTACTGAATGCTGCCCAAGTAAATGGACCAACGTAGAGAAAGGTATTAAGAACCTGAGAGAAATGGCTGTGAAAGAGGTGATTTATGGTGACTGGGATAAAACTGTAAATCCTGGCGAAACGCCATGCAGACAACCTATGTTGCAGAAGTTTTCACAGAGTGCACCACCAGTGTATTCTCACACTTTGTTGGTACTGAGCTGGGCAGGAGCTGATGATGATTCATTAACTGTAAGTGAAGTGTCTAGCAAAATGCAACAGTATGACGACAGTCTCTCTCATCCCCTAACTGTAGCAGCTGTAGAAAGATTGATAAAACTGAGAAAATGATAGAGAAAAATGAGAAACTGTTGATAAACTGTCTAGGATAGAGGATAGATCCTATTCTTCCCTTCCTTGGACCAATGCTGCAGCTGTCAGGAGAAGATGCCCTCCTATGAGACTGACTCAGAAGAGACAGAACACAGTATGAAATATCCAGTGGTTTTGCCTCTGTGATTATGGAGAGGAGATGAGTAAGTGGGATAAAAAAACCTACCTCAGCCCTGTAGGCACAAGTAAGTGAGTTGCAAGGAAAAGCAGACAGAAGACAGAATTATTCCAGGAAGACTGCTGCTCCAGTTCATAGGGGGTGGTTCTCCGGTCCAGGCAGAAACTCATCTGCTAATTACAGATGTTAGAAGTGCCCTGCCTCCAGCGAGGAGGAGGAGAGGGATAACCTGAGTTTATTGGATTGTGTGGATTCAATGACCTGGCACATTAGAGCCACAGAAGTATAGAGCCCTGCTGGACACAGGTGCACAGTGTACCCTATTGCCATTGAATCACAGACGGACAGAATCTGTTACTATTTCTGGTGTGACTGGTGGGTCTCAAGAACTGACTGTACTGGAGGCTGAAGTGAGCCTAACTGGGAATGAATGGGAGAAGCACCCCATTATCACTGGCCCAGATGCTCCATGCATCCTTGGCGTGGACTTTTTCAAGAGAGGGTACTTCAAAGACCCAGAAGGTTATAGGTGGGTTTTTGGTATAGCAGCTGTAGAGACTGAGAACATTACACAGCTGTCTACCTTACCTGGCCTTTCAGATGACCCTTCCGTTGTGGGATTGCTGAGGGTTAAAGAACAGCAGGTGCCAATTGCTACTGCCACAATGCACTGACGACATTACCGCACTAACCGAGACTCCCTGACTCCCATCCAGAACCTGAGTCATCAGCTGGAGACCCAAGGAGTGATCAGCAAGACTTGCTCACCCTTTAACAGCCCCATATGGCCAGTGCGAAAGTCTGACAGAGCCTGGAGGCTAACAGTGGACTACAGTGGCCTGAATGAAGTCACATCACCACTAAGTGCTGCTGTGCCAGACGTGCTAGAGCTGCACTATGAACTGGAGTCGAAGGCAGCCAGGGGATATGCTACAATTGACATTGCTAACGCTTTTTTCTCTATTCCTTTAGCAGCAGAGGACAGGCCATGGTTTGCTTTCACCTGGAGGGGTGGTCCAGTACACCTGGAATCAACTGCCCCAGGGGTGGAAACACAGCCCAGCTATTGGCCGTGGACTAATTCAGATTGCACTGGAGAAGGGTGGAGCTCCAGAACACCAGCAATACATTGATGACATCATTGTGTGGGGTAATACAGCAGAAGAAGTTTTCAAGAAAGGCAAGAAAGTAATAGAGATTCTTCTGAAAGCTGGTTTTGCTGTAAAAAGAGGTAAGGTCAAGGGACCTGCACGAGAGATCCAGCTCTTAGGAATTAAATGGCAAGACAGTCATCGCCAGATCACAATGGATGTGATTAACAAAATAATATCTATGTCCCCACCTACTAACAAAAAAGAAACACAAACCTTCTTAGGCGTTGTGGGTTTCTGGAGAATGCATATTCCAGGTTATAGTCAGATTGTGAAACCTCTCCATGAAGTGACTCAAAAGAAAAATGAGTTTACATGGGATCCTGAGCAATGACAAGCCTTTAAGCAAATTAAACAAGAGATTGTGCGCGTGGTAGCATTTGGACCAGTCTGAACAGGACAGAACATTTAAAATGTGCTCTATACTGCAGCCAGAGACAATGGCCCTACCTGGAGCCTCTGGCAGAAAGCACCACAGGAAACTTGAGGTTGACACCTAGGATTTTGGAGTCGGGGATACAGAGGATCTGAAGCCAACTATACTCCAACTGAGAAAGAAATATTGGCTGCGTATGAGGGAGTTAGAGCTGCTTCAGAGGTAACTGGCACTGAAGCACAGGTCCTCCTGGCACCTCGATTACCAGTGCTGGGCTGGATTTTCAAAGGTAAATTTTCTTCTACTCATCATGCCACCAATGCTACCTGCAGTAAGTGGGTTGCCTTAATCACACAGCGAGCTCAAATAGGAAACCCAAATCATCCAGGAATTGTAAAAGTGATCACAAACTGGCCCGAAGGCAGAGACTTCACAATGCCACTAGACAAGGTGGTAACATGTGCTGAGGAGGCCCCACCATATAATGAACTCTCAGATAATGAGAAACAGTTATGTTTTGTTCACTGATGGATCTTGTCGTATTGTAAGAAAACACTGAAAGTGGAAAGCTGCTGTATGGAGTCCTACATGACGAGTTGCAGAAGCAACTAAAGGAGAAGGTGAACCAAGTCAATTTGCAGAGGTAAAAGCTATCCAGCTGCCCCTAGACATTGCTGAACAAGAAAAGTGGCCAATGCTCTCTCTCTGTACTGACTCCTGGATGGTGGCAAATGCTCTGTGGGGATGGCTGAAACAGTGGAAGCAGAGCAACTGGCAGCACAGAGGTAAACCCATGTGGGCTGCTGAATTGTGGCAAAATATTGCCAAACGGCTAGAGAAACTGGTCATAAAGGTACATCATGTAGATGCTCATGTACATGCTCATGTACACATGAGCCGAGCCACTGAGGAACATCAAAGCAATCAGCAAGTGGACCAGGCTGCTAAGATTTTCCAGACAGATTTGGACTGGGAACATAAAGGTGAACTATTTTTAGCTCGGTGGGCCCATGACACTTCAGGTCATCAACCTTTGATCATTTCTCATGAAAAATCTCAGTATTCTTAAATTAAGTTTTTAAGTGTTTTATCTTTTACTCACTGACTGACTGATTCACTTCCAGTCTTGTCTTCTCCATCTGCCTCCTCGTCAGTATCAGAATCAGCTCCAATCTTGCCTAGATGTACACAGTTTCAAACATTAAAATTTAGGCAATATAATTAATACTACATATTTTGGCTTAATCTTAATGATTAACTCTACTACAATCAGCAGAAGAGGGTTTTTTCCCCAGTTAAAGCTGATGTTCTAAAATTAGACTTACTCGAACCCCAAAACCTTACTTATGAGTTTTCTGGTAGACACATGGTTGGCATTTCTCAGTTACACCATATTACAAAAAAAAAGTAGACTAGCTATTGCTAGTGCAATACTATAGGCACTAAAGCACAGGAGACAGAATTAACAGAATTACTCCACAGCATTCAGGATTCAAAGAGTTCCGCTTAACTGAGTTTACATGCTTACAAATAAATACTACAGCCCTTAAATTTCAAGTGGAAGTTCAGCAAGATACTGAAAAGCTGGTATGTCATATCCTTAATGAAAGTACATGAACTGTGTGTCTCAGCAGAGCAGAGGAACCCACCAAGAATCCTTTAACAACACCCAATACTTTAGGGCAATTGGTCATACAACTGAACTGGTCTTGCATTATGTCAGTTTTCCCCTGCAGAGAACCAGGAGGCAACTTTTTCTCAGTTTACCTAAAATACTTCTCCAGTCCTACTTTCATCTTTTCTACCAAGTCAAATGCTTTGTTCTTAGTTTGCATACTGAGGAAAAGAAGCTTATACTACTGTCTTCTGAATGTGCAGCTTCTAAATCAATGGACAATTTCATGCAAGCTTAAGAGATCAAAACCAGAATATATATATACACTAATATGTATATACACACTAATTAATTATGTATTAGTAGCTAGAAATGGAGTGAAAATCCAGTTTAGAGGCAGATTATGCCCTGGTTTACAGCGGTGCCTGGAAGTTTCATTCATACCTTCAAGTATCTTCAACAGTTTTTTTTCCGATAACAGCTCCAACTGCTCCAAGCAAAGCCTTTTGATTTCATCCATGGAACAGTTCTAAGAAGACAGATAAGACAGACCACAAGCTACTAAAACTTTCTGAGGAGAAATTATGAACGATAAGTAGTACCCCTAACTGTACTGAGCAAAGAGCTAACTAAGGTTGCAAGTTCCTTCCCTATTCCAACCTGATGCAACTATTGAAGAACACCAGGTAGGCATTTCAGTTTTGACAACTACCAGAAGTAGTGCATGTGGGGTGTTTTTTCTGAAAAAATTAAGCAATGCACACTATCGGTTACTTGACCTATGGCTTGGAGTTTTCACTGCAGCTGTAACACTGAACAGTGAAAGTACTGGACCGTATGTGTGATGCATGGAACAGCAAACAAGTGTAGCCCTGACTACTCCTAACTCTCCATCACTCAGGACCAGGTAGATTTCCTAATTAAGCCTGCCAAGCGATTGCCGACTGTTGAATCCAAGTTCACAAATCAAAGCAAACACTATTCTTGGCAACACACTAATAGCTGTATGTTACCATAAAGAAAACATAAGGAATATGTAAATTGTCATCCATTTCTCATGCTTAATATATACACTGCCACGGGTTTTATGGTATTCCAGTTATCTTCACATCTTTCATATTGGTGTCCGCTTGGTGAAATAGAGTGTTAATTTCACGCTTTCAAATGAACTACGATACCACATACAAGTACCAAAATTAGAAAATGCAGGGCAGATTGTAACATTCCCGGTGCTGATGGAGGTTTGATTCTACACCACCACTTTTAAACTCATTAACACCTTTGCCTCCAGCTGCTCCAGACCAGTTTTCTTCTCCCAGAGATGAGAAATGAATTAAACTGTATGCAATTCACTACATGTTTAAAATTAAGAAGTCCTGCCTCACTTACATTAATAATATGACTCATAAGGATAAAATTAAAGGCAAAAAATTGAAAACTATTGATGGCATTTCACCTGTAGCCTCTTCTTCTGAAGAGGCTGTTAAGTCTACTTTTAGAAAGTCCTGACATTCACAAGACTCAAAAAGTGTATGTCCAAGCCAGTAAAACTCTACCAATACTACCACTAAAGTCCACAGAATTTACAGCTTCAGAAGCTGTTTATCAAGAAGTAGTTGTATTGTCTTATCTCAGACATTAATTTAATACCAAAGAAATTCAGCTGACACAAAAAGAAATTAAACTTTTATTAACAAATCAGCATATTTATTAGTGAACAATGCTACTGAATTTACTCCATGCAATTATGAAACTCTTTTTGCATATAACTAACCAGTACAGACAGATGGTATAAAAAATAAGCAGCCTGCAGTTCAGCAATGGCTGAGCAGTGGAAAAAGGAGTAAGCTGGAATAACTGTATCAAATCTTCAAAAAGCCTCACTTAAGGAGACTTGATATAATCTTTATTTAAGGAATATATAGGCAGCTTTTAAACTGGAAGTCCAGTAGACTTGAGAGAGAAATGTGCTTTGTTACACAAGCACTAAAGCTTGCAAGAAATATATAAAAGTGTATTTCAGTACCTTTAAAATATCAGGCAGCATCTTCTGTAGTTTTTTCTCCCCTATGATACAGAAACACTGTTGAAGCATTTCTTTTTTGTCTGCAATGTAGAAGCTGACTGGTTTGAGTGAGACGCTGAGATCTAGTCCTCCTTCTTCTATATCACTGGGTTGTTCAGCTTCTTCCACTTTCTCTCCAGTGGGTACATTGCATTTTGCTTCCTAAAAATCAAGGAGGGCAAGTACATTTTTCACATATTCTAGTGAACTAGAGAAGAAGGAGACTTACAGCTTCAATTGTGCTTGCAATAGTTTTCTTTTCATAATCGCAAGGGACATCTTAAGGGCAGACCTTTGAGTTTCCAAACAGTGCTTTAGTCTGCAAGGTAACTGCATTACAGAATCTAAGTTTTCGGCTACTGAAACCATTCTTATGCTTTTAAATAGTAACTGGAAAATATTATCTGCAAATAACCTAGCTTATAAATGAAAGCATGTTTTAAGGCAGAAGACATCTGTCTCTCTGATTTGTTGTGCAATTAAATCACTGATCTCATAATTTACTGCTAACCTGCTATGGAAATTGGTGCACAATTCCCCTTGTGGCACATTCTGAGAATAGAAGCAGGCTTTGCATCAGAAAATAGATCTTCCATACATCAGTGGAAGACCTCTACAATTTAAAAAAAAAAATCAAAAACCAAAACAAAACAAAATAAAACATCTAGAAACACATTTTGACAGCCCCACGACCCACTCAGGACTGCATGTCACACCAACTTTTGTACCCACACCCACAATCCTGCCGTCACGAGCACCACGACGGGGTCACCTCTGAGCTTGTGCCCCACATCTCCTACCCCTGGGAAAACACAGGGCGGCCTCCCCCGCACGCACCACGGACGGCACGGCCCGACCCGGCCGCGGGTGTCTTGGCTGTGACAGCAGGTAACCGGCCCTGTGCTCCGGACGGCGGCCAGCACCGACCAGCCGGCCGTCAAGCGGGCACAAACCGCCTGCCCCTCGCAAAACGTCCCGCAGCGAGCACACGGCGGTAACACAACGGCCAGGCCTCGTCCGCCGGGGCGGGCCCGGACCCGGACACTGCCAGGCGGAGAGCGGGGGAAAGCCACGGCCAGCGCCGCCCGCCCTTCCTCCCCGCCCCACCTCCACGGCGCCGTGGCTGGACTCGGTGCTCCGCCGCTTCCTCTCGCTGCCGCCCGGCCCCGAGGCTCCCTCCGGACAGGAGGAACGCGAGCGGCGGCGCTTCTTCTCCTTGGCCGATCTCCTGCCCGGCATCGCCCCGCCGGGGCCCACCGTACCCCCCTGCGCCACCCTCACATCCGCGCGCCCCCGGCGAGGCCTACTTCCGGCGCCTGGCAAAGACGTCAGCGCCGCTTCCGGCAGGGTGGGAATGGGGGCCGACGGGAGCGGGCTCCTACCTCTGGATTCACCCCCGCGGGAGTAAAAGACTTAGGAGTGTTGTTGGACCGTGAAACCGCTCAAAAGGAAGCAAATAAGGAGTTAAAATGTAAGCTGGGTTCCTTCTTTAAATCCCCTATCTCCCAACAAGGTCGACAACACTGTTTTGCTGCTTCAAGACATCATTGTGCTGGTCTCAGGACTACTCCCTACATTCCTGCCTTCCTCTCTTGTCACTTATCATAGCTCTGAGTAGTTGCAGGCCCCGTTTGTGGTCAGTCAGGCTACATTTGCTAGATCTTACCAAATCACGAAGGTAATAAATTGTCTGAGAGAACAGAACGAGTTGATAGGAAAGAACACCAGAAGATGAAGTAGTAGCTTCAGCAATTTTAGGATGAACCAAGGTCACTCCGACCTTGCCAAGTACACCAAGAAGCTACCCAAATTAGGAAGAGTTCAGAAGTTTAACCTGAGGAAGACTCACAAGACGATCCCCCGCCCTGATGAAGGCACCGGAACTCCCACCAGATGACTCCCCAAAATGGGAGACTCCGCCTATATATGAATATGCATGTAAAGATATGAATATGCATGTAAAGATGATGTAACCTACACTCAAACTTGTATAAAAAAGCTGCACTGATTGCTAACCGACGGAACTCTTTGTCTAGGGCGGCCTGGAGAGTTCCCCAACGCGTTGCTAATAAATACCTCCTGCTTATGGACTTGAAAACTTAGTCTCTGAGCAGTTTCTATTTCGCCTTTTGGGGTAAATTTGGCATCAACAGCCGGCTGAACGTGAGCCAGAGTGTGCCCAGGTGGCCAAGAAGGCCAATGGCATCCTGGCCTGTATCAGAAATAGCGTGCCCGGCAGGAGTCGGGCAGTGATGGTGCCTCTGTACTGGGCACTGGTGAGCCCTCAACTTGAGTGCTGTGTTCAGTTCTGGGCCCTTCACTACAAGAAGGACATTAAGGGGCTTGAGCGTTTCCAGAGGAGAGCCACCAAGCTAGTGAGGGATCTAGAGAACAAGTCATACGAGGAGAGGCTGAGGGAACTGGGCATGTTTAGTTTGGAGAAGAGGAGGCTGAGGGGAGACCTCATTGCCCTCTGCAACTCCCTGAAAGGAGGTTGTAGAGAGGTGGGTGTTGGCCTCTTCTCCCAAGGGAATAATGACAGGACCAGAGGGAATGGTCTGAAGTTGTGGCAGGGGAGGTTAGATTAGATCTTAGGAAGAATTACTTTACTGAGAGGGTGGTCAGGCACTGGAAGAGCCTGCCCAGGGAGGTGCTGGAGACACCATCCCTGGAGGTATTTAAGAAACTTGTAGACATGGCTCTTAAGGGCATGCTCTAGTGCCCGGGATTGTTGGTTTGTGGGTGGGTGTGATGTGGTGTTTTGTGGTTTTTGGTTTGTCTGTTTGTTTGTTTTTTGTTGATGTTGTTTGGTTATGGTGTGTTGGGGTTTTTTTTTTTGTTGGTTTTTTTTTTTAAGGTTGGACTCGATCTCAGAGGTCCCTTCTAACCATGGTGATTCTGTGATTCTGTGGGAGTGCTGCTGCCTTGGCAGCGCTTCCAAACCAGGGATCCTGTCCGGAGCCATGTGGAAGCTCAAGTAAATGACATAAAATCCAAGCAAACTACATCATCCAGGCAGCACCTCCCCTTGAGCTCAGCGGCACCTGCAGAACAGCTCAGTAGGTTTTCGGGGTGTTCTGCCTGGCACAGGGGGAGGAGTGGAAATCTTTAACGGCGATTTCTGTGATTGGGTTCTGGTCTTCGCTATAGTCATGGAATCATTGAAGTGTCTGGGTTGGAAGGGACCTTTCAGATCGTGGACTCCAGCCATCAGCCCAGCACTGCCAAAACCACCACTAAACCATGTCCCTCAGCACTACCTCTGCACATCTTTTAAATACCTCCGGGGAGGGTGAGTCAATCACCTCCCTGGGCAGCTTCTTCCAACGTTTGACAAACCTTTATGTGAAGAAATTTTTCCTAATATCCATCCTGAACCTCCCCTGGCGCAACTTGAGGTCATTTCCTCTTGTCCTGTCTCTTGGGAGAAGGGACCGAGTCCCAGCTCTCCACAACCTCCTTTCAGGCAGCTGTAGGGAGTGAAAGGGTCTCCCCTCAGCCTCTTTTCTCCAGGCTAAATAACCCCAGCTCCCTCGGCTGCTCCTTGTAAAACTTGTGCTCTAGTCCACATAGCCTGCCCAGTAGAGAAACATTAGACTTAATCTGTCTGTTGGTCCAGAGAGTCACCTCTCAGACTCACTTAAACATTATTAGAGCTGCCACTCCAAGCCCCTGGTATGAAGCTTTAAGCAGCAGGCTAGACACCGCAGTAAACACCTTCACTTGGTTCTTGTGTAACTTTTTGTTCCAAGAAATCTGTTCTTACTGATTTGGTTGATGTATTGCTAACTTCTACTGAGGACGCACTCCATTAAAAATGGTTCAAGCATGAAAATACCCATAATTAAAAAAAAAATCAAATATCCATATCTCAGTGAATGTTAACATTGACAATAAATTTAGTTTTTCTGTGTTATTTCACGAATATTGCAGAACTCTGACACAAACTATTTTCCATGGGATGGAAACAAGTAGGAATGGGCAGAGAAGCCGACTCAAGGCAGGTGACCACACTGTGCAATTTAGTGTTCCTCTATAGCCAAGATTAGCTATAGAGGAACATGCCAATTAAAGAGGATAGTTAGACAAAAATGAAGACCAGAGTAGACCAGTGCCCATCATTACACAGAAATAATTTGTATTAAGAACCTCCTTTTCCACCAAAGCGTCCCTTTGTCTTTCTCCTGGGTCTTTTTTTCCCCAAAATTCAAACACGTTGCAGTCCAGTTTGATATATTCCATTGTGTTGGATCCTCCAACAGCATTGGTGGTATTGCCCCATTTAGGTAGAAGTCCACTGAATGCAAGTTGTACAAAACTAACAGTGATCAAAAGCACTATGGCCAGATGATAGGTAACGCAGTGTTTGACACTGTTTTTAAAAGGGTTAAAAGAATTTATTATCTCTTCTTTTTTCAGTAAGCATTGAGTCCCTGCGGAGCTGGATAAGGTGCAGTCAAAGGATCAGAGTTAATCCTAATTAGTCTGTGTTGTTAGATTACCTGGGTGGGTGGAAATAGATTGTTATCATCACAAAATGACAGCCTTAGTGTTCTCTGAAGATGGTAGAGGTAATGTAATTGGGAAATGTTAATTAGGGATGTAGAAGTTTGACAGGAAAATGAGATCCCTTGAGCAACTATATAGAAAATAAAAGGTTAAAGAATATATGCTTAGGCACACAAACAGGACAAGTGTTAAAGGAGAATCAAGAATAATCAAATACCTAGTAACTGCCTGTGCTGGTATTTTTATACAAAACCTGCACCTTTGTTCGTGTGGACTACGTTTTCAATGCAAACAGCACCTATTCACACAGTACAGAAGCTAAGTAGATATGCTGATAAAATAATTTAGCATAGTGATTATTCGTTTTCAAGATAATACTGACAGAAAGAGGGTATTCCGTTGTTATACATCAGAAGACAGGAAAAAAGCCCATTGCTTTGTAAAAGATGTGTTTCTCCCCCCTTTGCACTCAACTGGGTGTTAGCACGTACCCAGTTCTGCTAGCTTGGGAAAATCCTCACTGAAAGCTACCGCACAAACGCATGAGGGTGTAAGAACACCAACAGGCTTCTGCATCAATTAAAAAAACCTTCATTATTGTAAGATCTTACAACATGCTGCAAGATCTGGCTGTGTGTTTTAAGTTTCGGTTGTTGGTTTTTTTATTCCTATTACCTCCTTTACACATTACCTCCACTGCATATGTCTATGACCCTTCAAGGACAATCCCTGTGGGGATGGAACCCAACAAACCAAACATCCCCAACTCCCTCAGTTCCCTCAGACAATGCTAAATCATGGAATGGTCTGGAATCAAAGTACCCTGGTAGCAGCAGCTATCAAGTATTCATGCCCTGCTTTGTATACCTTGCCTAACATGTAGTGCTCCTGTCCCCAGATGAAGGATTTTTTGCTACGTCCCATCATTTCCTTGCAAATTTAAGTGAATTTCGTAATATCTCTTAATATACCATTTCTTTGAGTTGCCAGAATATGTTTATTAATATAAACATAATTTTTGGTCTAGGAAATTAATGACAATTATCACGTAAAGAGGTAATCTGTAACAGAGCAATCCCACAATAACAAAACCAAAATGTTAGATGAATATAATTTCTTAAAATAGCACATGTACAAACACAGTTAAAGAGCACAACATTAAAAAGCTAAAGCTTCAAGAACAATTTTATAGTAGGCAACCAAAATTCAACAGACAGGCACATTATTTCACAGACATGTTTCCTAAAGGTAGCTTCTTAGATGTTTTCCCAGGAAGGGACTGATCTATTGTTAAGCACTGTAAATCTTGAATAATCTTTTGGATTGCCTCATACATCAACCTGCAATGGATCAAATGAGAAAACCTGCAACTAAGCCATGATCAAGACTCTGAGGGTATGCATCTGGAAATTCATCAGAAGTATAACAGTACAAGTGTGCAACTAAGAGTTTGACAAGCAAGGTTTGCTGGAAGCAAGTGCAGTAATTCAGACAGTTCAGTTAGATGGAACAAAAAAAGTTAGAGCTCTTGGTCACAAAACCCTTCCTGTCTGACACTGATGAGGCAGACAGGTACCATGTCATGAAGAGCCCACATGCCAGAAAAGCCATTCTATTAGTCAATGAAGAATGTAACTTTGAACATGGACATCTTGGCTTCATCTTAATTCTAAACCAAAGTGTAACATTTACAGTAGTAAGAAATAACATCCCCATTTTGAGCTGAACTTCTTAGATCTGCTCGAATAGTCACCACAGTAATATTAAAGCTACTTCATAAAACTTGACTTTACATTTTTACAGTTTAAAACAGAGTATTTCAGATGTAAGGGACCTATAATGATCATCTAGTCAACTGCCTGACCACTCAGGGCTGTCCAAAAGTTAACACAAATGAAAGGCATTTGTCCAAATGCCTGTTAAACGCTGACAGGCTGGGGACATCAACCATCTCTTTAGGAAGACTGTTCCAGTTTCTGCTGCTCAATCTGTTCTCCATACCTAAATTTCTCTCCCACTCTTCAGGATGACTCTTTTTTTTTTTCCTTTTACATCATCTAATATTTTACAACATAGAGTAAGACACTTGCTATCAACTGATGTAATATTCCTGTCGTTTAAGTCAAAAGTCATGTAAAAGCTTTTGTAGAAGGTCACGCCATTTTACAAGCTAAAAGATATTCACTTATCAGTGAAGCATGACATCTATACGGCAGTTAAAGAGTCTACCCCTCAAAAAGTCACCTAATTCTAAGTTAAAAACAGTAAGAGTCATAAAACAGCTAGGTTTCAAAAAGGAAGTGGAAAAAAAGCTGATGAAAAATTAGGTACAAGCCATTCTCTTACCAGGATATTTGACAAGGGTTAATATTAACCAGTATTAACGAAAAAGGTTGGTTGTGAAAAGCACGGTTGAACTTAACAGTTCTCAGGGCCCCTTGTCTGCTAACAAAAAAAAACACAGTCAAGAAACAGACTCATGGCACTTAAACACAGAAACATGGTTGGGGTAGGCATCGGAGTTGACAGTCACCCAATCACAGCCATCTCCTACATTTCCATATAGATGACCTTTAAATACTGAGACAGTTTGACATCCTGGTGATTTACTTTGATCTAAGCTATGTTAGAAGTACTTCTTGCAAAGATCCTGTGCACTACAGACTTCAGAAAAGCAGTCAAATGACAAACAGTGAAAAAAGTTTTATTTGCTCTGTATCTTGCAACAAATCAAGTGTAATTCATCCCCAATTATAGTCTGTCACAAAATATGAACAAAAGTATCTTTTTTTTTTTTCGGCATACATTGTGTCTCCCAATTGCTAAGGAAAACAAACAATTATAGCAGATTAAGAACAAACCTACAGCACTCCTTTACTTTAGCCGGTTCTGATACAGAGGCATACTTTTTTATTTGAGAGTCAACTCCAAGAGACTTAGCTAATTGCACAGCACTTGTATCATCACTGATTAGCGTCCCAAGAGCGACAAGCAGTCTAAAAACGGCTTCAAGATCTTGAACGACTTCCATAACTGTGCTGATTACTGACAAACATTGAGCTTTGCCCTCAATGTTGTTGACTTTATGTAAACATACAGCGTAGTTCAGCGTCAGCGTGGCAAGTGCAATGTGGATATTCTTATTAGTGCCTGATTTCATTTCTATTGCTTGAGTCATGATTTCACCCCTCTGTTCCATCATGAGCTTCTGGCCTGCCTGGCTGACAAAACAATTGCAAAGAGCTCTAAGTGCCAACAGCTGGTTTGCTTGCTTCCCTTTAGGGTTCAGAAATTTAAGGAGAAGGACGATAAATTGTACGTGATCCTTTTCACTGCAGAAGTTCTCATTCACAGTGGGATGCCTGACAGACAATCTAAGAATGTCTAGGGCTGGGAAGACAATATCTAAGAAACAAAACAACAAAAAAAATTCTATTAATATTGCGTTATGTGCAAATGTACTGGTGAGTTTCTTTCAGATACAGACACTCTTAAACCCCTTGCTTTGGGAACAGACAGTAACAAGTTCATGCAGAAAGAGATCCAGGTAAAGCACAAGTTGTTTGAAATTCATAAACACAAGTATTGACAAACCCATTCTAGTAACACTTCAATCATAAAAAACATGCTCCTTAATTTCGGATAAACACAGTGCTTTGCAAAAAAATCTTAAAATCTTTCCTAAAAGCTCTAACTGATAACAGTGAAGACAAGTAGAAAATATGGTAACTAATCCAAAAAGGTCTCTGAAAACTTCTCAGTGACTGAACACCCCTACAAGTTCCCTTTGTCCTCCTTCCGTATCTTACAATATACATAGGTACAAAACTGCTTACAGAAAGAAAAATGAGGAAAAAAAATTTAGACTACCTTCAACTCTCAGACTTAATTTGCAAAGAACAACAAGAAAAAAAAGGATGTCCTCAACCGATCAGCTGGAAATCATTTTAAGGAAACCAAACTGAAGAGTTTGTTTAGTTGTTCCCCATCATGTTCCCAAATGTCAAATATACCTGGCTCCTTAAGTCTACTATTGGTTACCCATGTTTATAACCAAACCAGAGTTGAACTTGGTTAGCTACTTATTGAGCAGTTTGGCCTGCAGATATGCTGAATCTTGAGAATTAATGCCTTGTACAACATAAAGAATCTGAAAGGTATGATGACATTAGCTATCACCAGCTCCCAGCTGTGCGAAACATAGTTTAAGTTATGTTATATAATGAATGTGAATTTTTAACACCAAAATATTCTTCCTGTTAATAAATCTTTAACTGCAATTTCAAGAAAGCAGTTCGTTTTAGCTGCATGCTTAGACATTTGTATATGCAATGTATCCATTTTTTCCAGAATGTGCAGTAACAACCAAAATAGCCCTTCCAATCCATCGGTGCTCATGACAACATACTATCAATTGAAATGTTATCACTTCTACTTGTGTTTGTTCAGAATGTTATTCCACTAATGCAGTTCTGACCACATAACTTAGCTTCAGTAACTTATTTACTACTATATTAAGCAGAAGCTACTTTGGGGATTTTTTAATAATTTATCGCCATAATTCCATCCCTCATCTGATAAAAAATTAGGTCTCCAACTTCACACTTCTTTGCTCTATCTCCAAACAAGCCTCACACTTCTTTCTTGAGGATGCTCCTGCTAATGAAATAACCATGATGTTCATATCAGGTTTCTCCTTGGTGTTTACTGTTGTGCCAAAAACAAAACTTGAAGACCAATTACCAGTTGTGCAATTCATGTCACAGCCCCTGCTACCGATTGGAGCCATTAGCATACGTTTATCTAGTTTCTACTTGGGTTATAAACTGCTTGGAATATACTCTATGGAAGAGCCAGCTTAAGACAACTTTTGGTTCACGGTGAAGATGATACAAAAAATAATTGTAATTGTCTACCTTCAGGCCAGTTAATGGCTCTCCATAAAGTCTCAAGTTGCTGTGCTGTAGGTGTTTCTGTGGAGTTGTTGCATGTTGTAGACAGTAACTTTTCTAGGATTATCAAGTCATCTTCTGTAAGCTTATGTTCTTCAGTTGCACTGCCATTGAGTTCCTTTAATTTGCCTGTAAGACAATAGAAGAGGCATGGCTTACTGACAGCAGAACTTCACAAATCCAGATTTCGAATGAAATACTACAAAAGCACTTTATAAACAAGTTACAATTATTGTAGTTGTTTTAGGAGGGATTTAGATTTTTAAACCCTACTTTTTCCAGTTTTATCATTTTCTAATTTCAAGGTTTTAATCATCACAATGTTTGCTACTGTTAAGCTCCCTCTAATACTGTAACACAAAGATTCAGAATTCACATCTTAGCCTACACACAGGCAAAAATGCAGAAAACAAGACCATTAGTTTTCGTAACTGAAATGTGATTCCTTTTTTGCTGTTTTCTATTATTAAGTAGTAGAAACAAAAAAGAAACTGTATGTTCTTAGCGTGATCAGTTTTTATATTTTCACTTAAGTGCCATAAGAAAAATATGATTGTACCACATCCTATATTCAAATTTCAATGTAATTTTAAAAATCAAAGTATTGGAAAAATTATTGTAATGTACAGAATTTTGCTTAAAATAGACCTAGCCTTAAGCACCTGCCAATCATTGTTCTTCCAGAATTGATGACGGTCATGCCAATAAACACACAAGCAGGCAGCATTACATTAGTAATGAGTCTTACAGTATGCACAAAAATCAACTGCAGGCTTCCTATTAAAAACCCCATATAGCTATTAAATCTATCCCAGTCCAGCCATATTAAAAAGAGTATTTAACCACGTGCTGTAACAAAACCACAGGAAACTCAGTGAACCTAGGTTTCAGATTCTAAGCTTAAAAAAACCAAACAACCCACTAAGCCTGTGGCTAATATGTTTACCCTTCAAGAATATTGGACAAAAATAAACTGATACACTATGCTTTTAAGAGTAAATAAAAGTCTCTGCTTTGCTATAACATAGCAGAATGAAAATCAGCAAAATCAGCCAGCCTTGCCGTTCTCCCTCTTAAGAAGTTTTGAACAAAATTTTAGTGTAAAGTCTGTGCAAAACTAAGAGGAGGCTAAATCTATTTACTACCAACAACTTCCAGAAAAAAAAAAAAATCCAGTTTGTGAACCCCATATCTTCTCCCTGAACAAACAAATTACCAGAGTGCAAAAAAGTTCAGGGAAACAGGACGAGGGTGACTGAAGATTCTGAATGGTATTTTTAAACAGAAAATGAAACCTGAACAATATGTAGAAGGGCAGTACTGTATACAGAAGGCCCCAGAGGCTTGAGAAGTGGAGCTATGTGAACCTCATGAATTTCATGAAGGCCAAGGGTACTCCACCTGGGCCGGGCAATCCCCAGTATCAATAATAGGCAACAAATGGACTGACATCCTGCAGAGGAGGACTTGGGGATACTGGTGGATTACAAATTGGACAGGAGCCAGCAATGTGCACTTTCAGCCCAAACAGTCAACCATATACCAAATGTATGTGGCCAGCAGGTCAAGGGAGGCGATTCTCCACTCTTGTGAGGCCTCGCCTGGAGTACTGCGTCCAGCTCCAGGGTCCCCAGCACAAGCAAGACATTAGAGCAGGTCCAGCAGGACCACAAAAATCAGAGGACTGGTATGCGTCTCCTGTGAGGAACGGCTGAGAGAGTTGGGGTTGTTCAGCCTGGAGAAGACTCTGGAGCGACCTTATTGCAGCCTTTCAGTATCTAAAAGGGGCTTATATGAAAGACTTTTTATCTGGGTCTGTAGTGGCAGGACTGGACAGGAAGGAGTAATGGTTTTAAACCAAAGAGACACTGAAACAGGTTGCCTAGAGAAGCTGTGGCTGCTCTCTCCTTAGAAGTGTTTGAGATCAGGCTGGATGTGTCTTTCAGCAAGCTGACCTAGTGAAAGATGTTGCTGCCTACAGCAAGGGGCTTGGACCAGATGACATTTAAAGGTCCTTTTCAACCCAGACCATTCTATGATTCCATGACTGTAAGGCCAGAAGCTTGCCCTCTTCAAGAAGTTGGATAAATGTGAAAGTATACTTTTTCCAAAAAGCAGAATCTCTTGTTTTAAGTTTCCTTATCAGACTATCTGGATAACTACAACACTTTCAAGCTCTGTATACAAAGGGGAGAGAAGGAAGCAAGAGAGTTTTAATTTGGAGATGTTCAAGGCAGGTACACTGTGAATACAAACTAGTTTTACAAAACCCTTAGATGTACTAATGTATGTTCAGAAACATAAACTGGTGACAAATGGGGTAGAGATTTTGTGGAACATTTACAGAAAAAATAGAGGAAGAGATAGTATAATAGGAATGAAGCCTGAGAGGGAAAAACAAGGCAAAAATATAGTTTACCAAAAAAAAGTGTACAATTAGTAAATATTGCACACTGTTTTCCTTTTTCTGTTATGCAGAGAGTTCTGCTTAAATACAGAAGTCATCATTGCATTCTATGAAATAGCAGAGTGCCTTACTTTAGCAGTGAGTTTCACTGAATTTCACTGAATTTTTAGAGTTGGAAGGAACCATAGAGATCATCTAGTCCAACTCCTCTGCTAAAGCAGGACCACCCAGAGTGTGTCAGACCATGCCACTCAGGACTGCATCCAGGCGGGTCTTGAAAATCTCCAAAGAAGGGGGCTCCACAACTTCCCTGGGCAGCCTGTTCCAGGGCTCTGTCACCTTCACCATGAAAAAGTTCTTCCTCATATTGAAGTGGAACCCTTTATGTTCCAACTTGTGCCCATTGCCCCTTGTCCTCTCACTGGCAACTACTGAAAAGAGTCTGGTTCCCTCCTCCCTCAGCCCGTCCTTGAGATACTTGTAGGCATTACAAGCACTTCATAGATTACGTTGTATGGTTATCTGGCGAACTAAAACTTTCATAAGCAAAATCAGAAAGGGATTGCACATGACCTGCATACTTACCTAGGGGAAAAAAAAAAAAAAAAGTACATTATTTAAATGTACCAGCTTGATAAAAAAGAAAAAAAGATGCCAAACAACAGCAGATATAAGCTGAGGGAAAAAGAAAAGGGTGTCCTGTATTAGAGATTTTGTGAAATTTACTCACACTCCTAAGCCTTCAAATACATGCACCATTAAAATGATGAATGCAATTCGAAAAGGTCAAAACCAAGAAATAGTAGGAAAGCTATGGGAAATCAGCTTTTTGAAAAGATCAAAAGTGAAGTTACTTCAAACAGATGAAAAATAAAAACATCCTTGAAATTAAACTTACCAAGTATCTGTGTAGGATTGGCCTGGTCAAATGTGACAGCATCCATCTTCGGAAAATAAATATTTTCAACTTTAGCTGCAGCTGATTGGTAGGCACCCTTTCCTACATAAAGGAAGTACAAGAAGTTCAACGGTGTACTAAAGTGTCTGACATAGAACAATATCCAACCAGTAAGTCTCTCCTGCTGGACATTAGTCAGAAAAGTAGTTTTAAAAAGATATGATTGCTTATGCAAATAGCTGCCATTCCTTGCATTATTTTTACATTCAAGGGTTAAAGCTTAAGGCAATACCTTCATAAACTGTTCTCCTTTCATGTAAAAATTTACTATACAAGTGTATATTATTAACAGGGGTTTCTGAATTATATTAACTAAATGCAAAGTCACTCACAGGAATTTGTATTGCACTTAAAGCACAAAAATGGCAAGGGTCATTTTACAGCAAAGATCCCTCCTGTCCCTGAAATCTAATCTTTGGATTATTTTCATAATGAATAGGCGAAGTTTTTATATATTGAAAGATTTGCAGATATGACCAAGTTATGTCACATGCAATAGTAGCCCAATATCTCTTCAGAATGAGAGTAATAAAAAGCTTTAATCATTGCTTGTAATAATTTCCTACAACCTTAGGTGAATTAGTGGCTGATATTGTATAATTTCCATTAACTAGATATACCGATTTCTTTGATCAACAACATAACAAGTAGGAAACCAAAATTTCTCTTTGTAAACAGATTATTATCATATATTTTAAAACTTCCGTGCGTGACTCCTGCGTGTAAAGGAAGGCTCTGTTTTCCGTATTTTCTGAATAATTTTGAGACTCTAAGCAGCTTCAACCTGCTAATTATTTTTAATTAAGTATAGGTTTGCATCAATAAAATTCCACGTCAAAGGAAAAACTGAAGCAAAAGCTCAAGGATGCTTTTCATTGGCAGGTATCATCTCTTACCTGTATAAGGATCAACCCCACCCACTGGAGTGGCTGCATTTGATGCTGAACCAGGAACATAGCGGCCAGCACCTGCACGGAGACATTAGGTTTTTTAAACACCACCGCTGGTAAAGGGGTAACATATATTTGTATTTAGGTACCAGTTTTCAAACATCACTATTAAAGGTGTTATTTTGCACTAAAGGAATTAAAGAGAAGTCTTCAACACTTCCTGAAATGTAGGGATTAAATCTATGCCTGTGTATGAGGTTGGTGCTGGGGGTGATGATGGCATTCACAAGCTCAGTGACCTGTAGCTGTGAGGCACTCTGGCATGGTCTCTGGCACCCACTGGTGCAAAGGCCACCAGCACAGTAGATACTTTATGCACAAGAAGCTACAGGGGGATGGCACTGCTGCCCAGGCTTGGCCTCTCACTGTACGGGGGCGAGCAGTGGCCTCTCCTGTGGGAGGTGTACTCTGTTTGTGGCACTGAGTCCTCACATGAAGCAACTGCAGGGTCTTGGCATGTGCAGAGACCACAGCCTGAGGAGCCACATGAAGCAAGGGAGGAGAGACAGATGGAGACCACAGAACAGGAACAAAGACTGTCAAGATGGGGAAGACTGTAGGCTACAGCTTTTGGCAATAGAGCATAACCTTCTGCTCCACCTGTAGATCTGCAAATGCAGAACAAGCACAGTGCCCCAGCACTGGTGAGGCCACACAACAGGGGATGGATGCATCAGGCCAGCTGAGATGGCACCTCATGGCTGAAAAAAGGGGAAAGGCAAGTAGCAGCGATGGGAGGCTTCCTCCTGCAAGGTATGGAGGCATGACCTGGTATCATGGGAGGTTTGTGTCTGCTGGAGGTCAGGATGTTGCAGAGAGGCTTGCAAAGCTTGCCTGGCCTTCAGACTGTTACCCTGGTATTCTTCCACATCAAGTGGAAGTCAGCTGATCAAGTGGGTCAGCAACTCACTGCCTTGCTGCTTTTGCAGGCAGGACTTCAGCATCTGTCTGACAAAGCAGGGCTGGAATGCCTTTGCAAACTAGCTTGTTAAACTACTGAGTAGGACTTCAAGCTAGCTAGGAGAGCAGGGAGAGCTGGAATCTAAAATTTAGGGTGCAAGGTACCAATAAAGGTAATGTAATAAGAAAAGGAATAATAAGAGGAAAAAAGAAAACTACTGTATGAATATACCGATTGCCGTGTTGGCCGTGCATCTGAGAGTTTGACAAAACATAAGGCTTAAGACCTACTGCTCTGCTGTAGAGAACAGTGACAGGAGGCAGATGAGACAGCAGAGGGCTCTCCTAAGCAGGGCTGGACATGCTTCGACAGTGGTGGAGTCCACCTTATCAGTCTGTACCACACTCCTGGCCCAAGTGGAGAACTGCAAAAACCAGTGCTCTCGTGCTGAACACTGAATGCAACTGAACATGATTAAAATATGCATCTTAAATGCTAACGAGACAGATTATGAATTTACCATTACCTGTAAATGGATCTGCTCCAGGTATTGTACTTGATCCAGATGAAGAGCCTGGAACATAACGTCCAGCACCTGGTAAAACAGTAAGAAAAGCAATGACTACTATACAGAGCTTGATGTTATTAGAATGTCAATACTTCTCAGACAGAAACACTCAAAAATAAAGCCAAACATCAAATATGTCTTATTGTTAAGTTTTTATGAAAAGAAATCTGATCCTATCCACAAAAGAGTCCCTTGATGCTGAACAAATTCTTCCTAATTATTTGAGAGTCAGGAATTTGTTTTCTGGGGCATACATAGTACACATTTGCATGCAGCCAAATCAAAGGTATGCACATAAGTCCAGATGACTGCAGTTCCATGAGATACATCTGAACCCAATCAGCCTCTGGTCGCATTTCTAGTTCATTGCAATAAAATGATTTAGCTCAATTATTTTATGATATTTTATTCCTACCTTCATCTTAGTGAAACCAGTGGAAATAAGACTTCTTTCTTTTGTAAATGTGATAAACAGGATGTAATTGATCAAAATGGTTCAGCTTATGAGTAACTAACTCATTCCATATCCTCCCTGAAAAAGGGTCATTTATGTATTTCACTCAGTTTCAGTTCATTCTCTAACTACATTTTTGTATTTAACTGATTGCCTTAACAGCACCTAGCCACCACTTCGACGAATATGAAGAGTGGCATTTTCTTCCACTGGAAAAAAAAAAACCCATACTACACTGAAAAATACAACTGGCTTGATTACAGTTTTGTTGAAGATTTGTTCTTACAAATACTTCACAAGTTTGTCTTGTTTTGTCAGATCTATCTGCACCTTGCCCTCAAACATTTAAGGACACAAAAGCCCTACAGAAGCGCACGAGCTACAACAGTGAAATCTGCCTGAGCAGATAAGTGAGGTGGATTGAACTGTCTGAACAACCAGACCCAGAGAGTGGTGATCAGTGGCACAACACCTGGTTGGAGGCCAAGCATACCCCGAGGGTCAGTACTGCATCTGGTCCTGTTCAACATCTTAATTAACGATCTGGAAGATGGGTCAGAGTGCACCCTCAGCAAGTCTGCTGATAACACAAAGCCAGGAGGAGACCTGATGTCATAATTTAAGTTTATAATTTTTACCTGTAAATGGATCTGAATATTGAGCACTTGTACTCAGCAGAGTTTGCCCTTTAGTGTTGTCCATAATAAACTTGGCCACCTGATCCAGAAACATAGGATTTAGATCATTCTTTTGCAGGAAGTTGTATGCCGTCAGCCAAGGATCATCAGTGATGTTATATGGCAGTTTGTAGGAAGGCCCACTTTCATTTACATCAATAGTGAAAACATAGTCATACTCCTTTAAGGACATTAAAAACAAAAACAAAATAGAAGTTTGTCAACACTTTTTACATCAGGCTGTATCAAATGCAGACTAATAATGGCATAGGGCTAAGCCTAAGAACTTTAATGCTGCTACTTGGAGATTTTATCAATAACACTCTCCTCCACAGGCTGCAAGTAAAAAATACATACACCATACCCTGTGTTTCCAGAATTCTCTGTCTCAAGAAGAGCAGGCTAGAACAACCTATTATGATAAGGTGCGTGCAGATACATTACAATAACAGATGTGTCAGACAACTCTCACAGACAGCTCTGGCTGCCTGCAAAGTTCTAGGGCACTCAGATGCCTCGAAAAACTTCAGTCTTAAAAGCACGCTTCAAATATTGAACCACAACAAATTCCTAAGTTTTTTTTAAAATCAGGTGAGAGATAAAATTAGTATCTTATAGAGAGCAATAAAATCAATTAAAGTTCGCATATACCTTTCCTTCAAATAAAACTTTTCCAGATGTTTGTTGTGTGGCTCCAGAAGAACCAACAACGTCACCAATCTTTATCCATCTTCCTTCACTAACGCTCCACTGATATGCTTCTACTTTCCCATTGTCTTTAATAAGACGTGTCTGTCCATCTCTTGTTCCTGTAGACAGGAGTGTTTAAGAGTTTGAACAAATTCAAGAACATGATTTACTTTAAAAGAGAAAAAAGTGTTCAAATACAGCTCACATTTAAAGATGAAAGGATAGTTCACCAACATATAAAGTCACGGCACAGGAAGTAACTAGATAATAGATGTCACAACAAGAATAGCAGAAATCTCGACATCAGCGTTTCACAATTACAGTAATGGTAACTGCCACCAGACTAAGTTGCAAAAGCAATCCTTAAGTCAAGTATTTCAAAAGTTTACCATTTTCCCAGGGAGATGACAATCAAGAAAGGTGATATTCTCCCATGGTCTAACATGATGGGAAGCTTCATACGATTGTAATTTTTATGCCACTTGCTGATCAGAGCCAAGGGCTGAGGTCACTGGTTACTTCGCCTTGGGAAAAAGTATTTGTCTATTTAAGAGTAATCTTAACTACCACTGCTTCCACTGTATTCCTAGTAATCTCCCAAGTACCTCAAAAGTGTAAAGTAAGGTAAGACAAACTTTTGCAAGCCAAAAACTAATGCAGACAGTTTGCATAAAAAATCCACATTCAGTAATCTTTTGGCAAATTACGTAACTGTCTCATATACTACTGGCACAGATGACATAACAGATCTAAAACATCTCAAACACGCTACAGTATCCTGAATTCCACCTTCTTTTAAACTCTCATAAGAGAAATATCTTATACCATTTTAGTCTACAAAAAAACACCCCGTATATTTAAACTAAAGCCTTGCCTTCAAAAGAATTAATGAAAGGATAGTAGAGCAAAATTAAGCTGTTTTCTTCAGTGACTCTTCTGAAAGGGATCAAAGCTTAAATTTTGAAAACTATGGAAAGTTTCAGTAACCCAAAACTAACATTTGGAGGTATATCTAACCTGACAACAGTGCAATAACTTACCAGGATCCTTAAGATGTTCTCTTCCAGGAAGGTCATCAGCATTAATATCTCCTAAATCACCAGTTTTAGGGTCAATGGATGCTTGGGAAAGCTCATTTTCAAAAGCTTGAATCTCCTCAGCACTTGCTGTACGTTCCAAAGACTCTGTAAACACCCTTATAATTCCATCACTGAACGGAGAGAAAACAAACAGAAATACTATTTTAAATGTCAAAATGATTACATACATTCTAGTGGTGACTTCTGTGTCATAAGAAATGACCACTACTTCTAACAAGCCCTCCCAATTATTTTTATGAAAGCTTGCGCTCATGCTGAAAACACCCAGAGAAGGACTTAAGCAGGTAGCCCTATCTGTAGTACGATCTTAAAATCAAGGTAGGACATGCCTATCAAAAGGGTTCTTGATACCGTACTTGTAAGTCCATTCTCATTCTATTCATGGTTTACCACATTCCCAAAGAATTCACTCTACCTCTGAAATTGACGTAACAAAAGAATGACTTTTTGGAATAAGTACAGCACATTTAAATTTAATCCACACACACATTTTGATGGCTGTATTTTTAAACGTAGATTAAACTGATATGCAAAGTGAAGGTTGCAATTTCATTTAAAAATACACTGTGAATAAAACCTGAATACCTTGCACCAACTACGATATCCCCATTGTCTAACACGCAGCAGCACCATACAGACTGAGCTGGAAGTCTGATAGTTTGAGCACATTCTCCTCGTTTCCAGATTCTAAGAGATCTATCCTCTCCAGTAGTTATAAAATCTGAAAAGAAAAAGTAATAAAAACTTTTAAAGTATATTTTCGGTGTACCGTGATACTAGATACTGTGACACTGCCATTCTGCAACTATCTAAAAATTAGAACAGTAAAAGAACTCTTCTACAAATTTAATACTCCTCTCAGTTGCAAGAAGAGATTTAAAAGAATGCTACCGCATAGTTGTCTTCTCAAAAAAAAAAAAAAGTGAATAAATTGTGGACTAAGCAGCTAGACAGGGAATCAAATTACACTCAAGACAAACAAAAGATTCCTTCCTCCTTTTGAAGTTTAAACAAGGAACTTTGAAAAATTTTGTGACCACCACTGTTTTATCTTACACTATACATGCGAGGTAGGCCTGCTTTTTCAGGAAGCATGCATAAGGCACTCTCTAAAGTCTATAAACTCCTCAATGGGGAATTTTAAGGCATAAGAGATTTACAACATACACATCCGCTATTATACATGCAATTTAGCTGTGGAATGAATGCACAAGTGTTCCACACACCACACAAAGATCACTGACTTGGCATTTCTTCTGCAACTGTCTGCAAGTTAGTCCTGAACCTCTAAACTTCTAACTCTGAAAAAAAATGCAATTAAGCCCCACACATAGCATTCTTAACTTAAACTACTTGTAATGCACTTTGAAAACTTTCTGTAAGCCACACATTATCATTTTAGTGCTTTGCAACAGTGCTGAAATACAGTTGGCAAGCTAGATAATTTTGCCTATCACTTTGCCAAAGTTTCACTTAAGCCTTACAATTAGGCCTATGCCAGGACCTTTCATCTCACCTACTACCAGAACAATTCTGCTGGAGGTGCGATTTGGAGTCAATCACAAGTTGTTTTTTTTAATTTTTTTACGCTAAGAAAACAAGTAAATTAAACTCTACCTGACCTTGTTAGTTGTGACAGCTCCACAGAATGCCCACCTTGCTATTTCATTTTGGAACAATGTTCAGTAATAGTCACAAAAATAATCCTACCTTTACATTGAGGGAAGACAGAGATGCTGTATATATAATTTGTATGTCCATAATACACCTGCAAACACTCGCCAGAGATCTGCCATCTTCGAACAGTAGCATCATTAGCACAGGAAAGGAATTCCATTTCACTGAGAATAGCTAAACCTCTCACACAGTCTTCATGTCCTTTATAAAAGAAAGGAACAATTTTAATGCGGCTTTTCTTTCCTTCAGCAGCAGTATACCATTTCTGTTTATTTCTATTTCACATATAAATCCCAGCAACCAATCTTCATTATGGAAGCCATTGAAAAAAAAAAAAAACAAAACAAACAAAAGCAACTCATTGCTCATTATTCTCTAAAAACAATCTAATCCTTTTAAAGGTAATGCGATTTCTGTGCATGCAACTTGAGGGACTTTGAACTGTAGAAAAATTGCACAATTTTTAGGTAGGATTTTTAATTTTTTTTCTTTTTAAAAGAACGCACGCCCCCGATGAAATTACCAACTGCAGCAACATTTACCAGTGAAAGTTCTTTCACATCTGCCTGCCTTCCACAGTTTAATAGTTTTGTCAGCTGAACCAGTCAACATTAATCCCTGTTCAGGCAGTATTTTCACTGCCCATATTGCAGCTGTGTGACCCTGCAAAAGAAAGCGACATTATTAGACTTGTCAGAATCAAATCAAGAGGACCTATTTTATAGTCATACAGAGGAACTTCATACCTGTAATGTCATCATACATCTGTCATTCAACCAGACCTTGGCTGTTGTATCCCATGATCCACTTAATAATGTACCAAATTTCCCAGATGAAAGGCTGCAAACTGGAATTAATATTCAAATTAGCACTGACAAGTTTCCTGTATTGCCACCAATCTTATGCCAGCAATTTATAGTGATTTATTTAAGATTTACTTAGTAGCACATTTAGTGTTGAGGAGTCTGGGGAAGAGTTACATTGAACTGTAGCTGCACTGCAACCTAGAAAGGTGCTGCTTAAAAATCTCTTCACTTTAGATGTCAAAATTTCACATCTTTTTGCCATTCATATTTATAAATTTCTCTTAGTATCAGATCTCTTCTCCTCAGACTAAAATACGTTGACAAGCAAGTTAAGTAACTAGTCAAGAAACAGAATTAATGCCAAGCTTTAGTTTTAAGATGATAGAGAAAGCCAAGACTTAATCAACGTGTATTATGTCCTCAAGAAGCAAGATTTTGAATAAAAAATACTTAGCTCATCTTTTAGAAGGCAAAATATTAGTATCAAGAAATTGTGGTGACGTTTAAAGATTTAGCAAAAAGATAATCTGCAAATGCTCCAGTAAAAAACAGGTACAAAACTGAAGACAAAGGGTGCTAATAAGATTTACTAATAAAAGTTTACAAAAAGAACTAAGTCATAAACAGAGAGTACCCTGTCCATCTAATAATTTATAAAACAGAAGTAGGGCCTGATGTTTCTTGCTTCTATGACTCCACAGTGAAAACCAGACAGTATTCTACCCATCACTTATAATGTCCTACTTTTTCCCCACTTTAAAAAATGTAGAATTACATTAATCATAAAATCTGTTTTAGTGTTTTACGTTACTGTAAAAATTGCCATAGGGAAACCTATAACTTGTCTAGAACATCTCATCCCTTTTCACATTGTTGGAAGAGGGATGTCACATATTATTTTAACTACTCATCCATCCTAGGCTTCTGATAAAGTATGTAAGTTACTCCATGCCTCCTTACACAGTGACATTGTCTTTCTCTCAGAGAAAGCCAAGAGCTTTATAATACAAACATAAATTTTAGATGCTGTTTAGCAGTCCAGGGTATTTTCAAACTGGTCTCCACAACGATCCTTTAACAGTCAAAAAAAAAACCAACCAAACAATCAAAACCTCCAAAACTTGAAATGTTTATTTTTGATACCTTATAATTACATGATTAGACTATTTAAAGGTCTGTTAAATAGTCAATTAGCTCACTGTTGTGAGCTAATCTACTATTTTAACCCCAGCCAGCAGCTAGGACCACACAGTCTGTCAAAAAGTTCTCTCCTTCTGCTAGAAGGGCAGAGAAAAAGAGGGAAAAAAGAAGGGGAAATGGGAAAAAAACACACAATCTTTGTGGGCTGAGATAAAGACAATTTAATAGAACAGTAACAGAAAATAAAAATAATAATGACACAAGTCACTCTCACCACTAGGTGAATTGGTTACCTTCCCGAGCAGCGATTGCAAGTACTCCATCCCCACCCCAGCCAACCCCATTTTAACCCCACTGATCATGACATCTATGGTACAGAATATCCCTTGGGCCATTCCATTCTTCTATCTATGGTTCTTATCTGCTTCTATGGGAAGATGAAAACTTGAAAAATATAAATATCACTTGGCAACAACTAAAAACAACAGGCATTATTGACATTCCTTTCTTAGGAACTCTGAAACACAACAACCACCAGGAAAAAAAAAATAACTCTAGCCCAGTTGAAACCAGGCCACACAAAACAGAAAACCTTAGCATGCTAATATGAAAATTTCTGAATCTTGTTACATAGCTCAAGAAAAGGTATACAAAGTTGTTTCAGTATGTCACATGCTGCACTGACCTCACTGAAGAGAGATGAAATTTCTCTAATAAACTTTTAGTCTTTACTAATATTTAAAGCATCAATTAATATTAGATCCCCATCTAGGTAACAAAATGGGCAGTGAAAGTTTGCTTACTTAGGAAGCAGACTTTTTCTACTTCCATCAACTTGGGAATAAAAATTAAGCTCAATTCATGCAGAACAAAATGAACTGCTTCTTAAAAGTCCAACTCTTGGCAAAAGGGTTATCATTCTGTAAATTGCCATGTGTTCACATATACAGTAAAAGCTCAAGCATTGATCAATGTAAACTTGGAAATCCTTGCAATGAACTGTCATTGAGATTATAAAATCCTATTTTGCAGAGGCCATAATTAAATAGTTTGCTACATTAAATACCAAAGAAATCAAAATTGAGTTTTATAACTTTAACTTAATTTCCTCTCTAACAAATCACGTTAAATTTTATGCAACAAATTAAAGAAAAAAAAAAAAGACAGACTACATACCTGTGTTCTTATGACCCTTAAGGGTGTAAAGAGGAGCTGGGTTGTCAACTGTGAAAATGCAAATATTATGATCATTGCCACCAGTTGCAATCAGCCCACGAGGATAGAGGTCACTTGGAGGTATGATGCACACACAAGATACAAAATTTGAGTGGCCACTCATACAGTGCATTTCAGTAAAACCCCTGTTAAGACTAAACATATATGATAATCAGTTGGGAGTCATGACAGAAACATTACTTATTTGACGTACTGAATTACAACAGTTGTCTTATACTCCAACTCTTGGATTAATAACTCTGCTTGTATTGTGCTGAATAAATACTATGGATGATCTAGAAAGAATGAAAAACTTACCAGAAAAATTATATCCCAGCATTCCAACTCAGTAAGTGATATTTAAAGTTTTCCACTTATCTTTTGGTAATGGTAGGCCTGAAAGGACTTAGTTTTGGTTTTTCTTGCTCCTTGGTTCATTTTTCTTGCTCATATGCCCAATTTGATGAGTAGTTACAGTTTGTCTTATTTGTGGTCTCAAATAAGACTCAAATATGTAGCTCAATATACCTTAAAATAACAGGGCACATAAACAAAGGAAGTTTACTGCCTGCCAAATCGATTCACTGGCCCTTAATTAGGAGTACTGTAGAGGTTTCATAGTTAAGTGGATTATAACTGACTCAAGCAGCACCCCTATTTCTTCATCATGATCCAGCCTCAATAGTGATAGCAGTAACTGGAAAAAGCTTGTTATCCCCACATAATAAATGAGTGGGCTGTGGCGGCATTTGTTTGGTTTGGGTTTTTTTTTTTCCTTTTTCTGTTTGTTTCCCCCTCGCCCCAAAAAACATAACGTATCATATCACACTGTCATCCTTCACACTCTACTGCTTGGAAAGCTTGAAATACATAGGTAAATCATGACACTCCTCTAAATTCTAAAATGTCTTCTCTGCTGAAGGTACAAAGAACACATGTAGGTAACATATCTTTCCTGTAAAATTTAAATGACAAAAATAACATTCACCAGTTTGCTTACACACTGAACCCTACCTACTGTAACACCAGCATCTTCAAAGCAGAGAGACGTAACCATTACGACCACTATAACACTGCATGTTACTCATGTCTCCCTCACACAGCTCTCAAAAGTTACGTGTCAGAATCACAGGTCCTTTCCTGCAATAAATTTCTAAGCAATTTAACAAGTTCTCCCCTTGTGATGAGAGATTTAACAAGACACACTTAATGAGATTAGTCTTCCCCTCCTCAGTTGCAGAGGTAGAGATATCAATTTAATCACACACGCGAGCGTTCAGGCAAATTTGCCAATTATCCAATTCACTGGAAGGTAGTGGAAAGATTCACAGTTCACAATTTGAAACTACAGGCAGATGAGGAGATACGTCCTGTGGCTTCCTGCAATACCCTACCTCTCCACCACCTCCTACGCACATTGCTTAGCACTACTTCTTCTGGTCTCAATGATATGCTGAAAAATTCACTGAGTTAATTCAACAAGACAAATGCAGTAGGAAACAACCCTGTATGACATGAATATCAGAGAAACGGTGTTGGGTTTTTTGCTTATCCGAAGTCTTAGTGTATTTAAATTTCCTGTGTAGTTTTTGGTTCATATTCCATTTTATGTTCAAGGAATTCTGCTCAGCAAGGGGAAAAAAAAAAAAAAGTTTTTCAAAAATGGTCAAAGAGTATTGCTTTACTGTCAAAAACGCTGCATTATTACTTAGAGGGATCACTTTGGTACTGAATACCAAGAGGTGGAAACAACACTAACATCACCTGGAGGAAAGACCGCCAGATTTACAGACGTTATCAGCGTCTGCAAAGCACGACAAAATGTCGACATAAGAGTTAACTGTTCGAGCAAATACAGCCTTCCCCAGAAGCGGGCCAGCGGGCGGACACGCCTTGGCCCTTCGCAAACTCTCCCGCCCGCCCCCAGCGAACCGACTCCCGCCGCCGCGCCCAGCCCGCCCCCTCCCCAGCCCCCGCCGATCCACCCGGCCGTCCCACCACAGGACACGACCGCGGGGGGGAAACCCTCCCAGCCGACTGCAACCCGGACCGCCTCGCCCAGCGACCGGCGGCTTTGCCGAGGAAGGCCGCGGCCCAGCGCTCACCCGTCAGGAGCCCAGAGCCGCGCAGTTCGGTCCCGGGAAACGGACACGAAACCGCCCGGGGGAAAAAGGCCGCGGGTCAGGCCCCGCACGTCCTGCCCATGCCCCACCAGGGAGCAACGAAGCCGGTACCCGCTGCCCTCGCCCGCCATGGCGGGGGGGGGCC